TTGTTTGGTCTTTATTTTTTTCCTGTTCGCTCTGATATCCTTCGACATTGCTGATGTTGACTGTTGTCGCTTGTTGTGTTTTCTACGCGCAGCTACTTCATTATGCTTATGATTTATTTCCATTATTAATGTGAATTTTTGAATGCGACGCGACGTGACGCGTCTCGCTGTTGGTTCGTTGTGGGCTAAGTTGCGTTGTGTTGTTGTACCTATGTACAAGCTTTTTTTTTGGCTTGTTTGCTGTTTACATTTTTCCATTTGATACTCGTAGACTTTTGATTGATGCCATTGTTTTTTTGGCATTAGTCTAGCTTTATTTTGCTTTTTTTTTGATATTTTTTAAGGCTTACCTATAAAGCTGTGAGGGCAAAATACTTTTGGATTATCGGTCACTTCTGCACTTAGAAATACAGACTAGATTTGATTGTTTTTTAATTAGTTCTTCGATACTAAAAACATGTATGTATGTATATAAGAAATACTATAAGTCCCAAGTATCGGCACGATAAATTCTAGCGCAAGCTTTTAGGTTAGGTTAAGTTGTGGTAGCCAGGTCTATCGTGTTGATTACACTAAAACCCATTGCAATACCACAAAAGGCTGTGCCATGCAACCATTTCGATTCTCTAATGAACCTCATTACATCCATGACTTTGCTGTCGGCTATCTTCGATCGACCATATAGCAGTAGGGTCATGAAATTCTCTAACCACATTCAAAAGCAGGGCAGTAGTATGGATTGTTTACTCCTCCTCACTATCAATGCAGTTTCTGTAGCATCATGTATATGTTGCACCTACACTCTCCGCATGGCGTCCTATCAGGCAGAAGCTTCTCAGTACTCCCATTACTTTAGACACGTATCCTCTTTTTAAGGCGTTCATATCTCTTGATCTTTTCTTATTCTATTTTGAATTTGTGGCAAGTTGTAGTTTCATCAAGTCTTGACGTGAAAAGTTGATGTGCAAATTCCTTAAAATGCTGGTTACAAGTGGCAAAAGTCAAGCCAATGCGTTCTTTATTGAGAGATATTTGCTTTGTCTTATCTTGCCCAGCAAGTTTATCTATCTTACATATTGCTTTGATGCCCATCTCAGAGATAGTCAGTTCTGTTTGTCCATCTCCTGGAAAGAGAGGTAAAAGTCCAGTATAATTTTGGTATTTAATGTTAGCGAGCTTAGTGCTTTTATTACTGCTCCGTTTTGCTTTACTGCTCTACTCTATAATATCAGGCATTTTCGCCTGCAAAACAACAGTCAGCCTGCAAGAGAGTTCCATAGAAAGATAACCCAATATCTGATTGATTGGATCCATTGGTTGTATTCTCAAACGTGCGGTTATTGCTGCTGACTATTATGGCAACAAGTTCGGTGGCAAGAATAGGGTATTACGAGTAAATTTTAGAAAAAGTGGACTCTTTTGGGTAGAAAAGAGATATTTCTACAATAAAATTTTGTTGTCAAACTATTTCAAATAGATATTCTGAAACTTTCCACTTGAAATATTTATTACTCCGCCGTTGTGACTTCGTTACCGGCGGCCACTGGAAAGAAAAGCGCGTCTGCGTTGACCGAAGAACTCATGAGGGAATCTTCCAAAATGAAGAAATTCATGTCTTAGTTAATAATTTAAGAACTCGGACGAAGAACTATAAAAAAGCGAAAATTTTATATATATAAATTTTTACTTTTACAAAAAAAAAAAAAAAACAATATTAAAACTCACTCGATATTTTTTTTTAAATAGTTGTGTTCGAAAAAACAGTGCTTCGTCCGATTCCTAGTGAATTGTATCTCGTTTGAGTATCTTCCGCGAATTTTCGGCAACGGACTTTTTAAACACAGCTTCGAGAAACAAGGGTTTAATGTCTAGAGCGCTAAGTCTATCTCCCTCTTTTAATGTGGAGTTGAAAACTTAGGATATCACAATGTTTAAAAGTTATTAAATTAAATTATTATATATATTTTTTTCTATCGAATACTCAAGTACGAGATTCAATCATGCTTTTGGCTTTGTTGTAGTAGAAATACATAGATATATGCCTTCCTACTTTGTTATTTTTACATTTTGCTCCTTCTTCCAGCCATGACTATTATTTTCAAGTTGTGTCTGAGTTATTTCATTATATAGCCCTCAGATATCCGAATTAATATTATATATAACCCTAAGACGAGATTCCATCAATTTGATATGGTCATGAAAGTTATAAGGGTTTCGGCATGGCCAAACATAGCTCATCTTTCGAGACAACTATAATAGAAATGTTTCAATTGAAAAAGTTCTCACAATTTATTTTTTAATACGTTTACTGGCAAAATAATTAAGCAGACAAGAGGCAACAAAACTCATAGCAACACTCTTTGTCTTTTTTTTTTTTTTTTTGAAAATTTTTCGAAAATTTGAAAACAATTCTCAAAAAAACTCTGCCATTTCATCATTATTTTGAGTGACATGAAAAACTTCTAGTTCACTCTTCAATATATATTCTACAAATTTATTTATTTTTTCCCAAGTTTATTGTTGTTTTCTTATGAATTCAAAAGCCCTAAAGAGCGATTTCACTTCCGAAAAAAAGTGATTTGTATTTCTTATTATCTTCATTTTCTACTTCCCACTCAATTGAATTTGCTGCAATTACATTGTATTTATTCCTCTATTAAACAATACCAAACAGACTCCAAGCTTTAGACAGTAGATGATCGCGTACAATTCGCTGTTTCCCCCTCTCCTTTAACAAAATACAATATTACAATAATTTGAAACACGAAATTCCCATTTCTCTTCTCTCGTATTTTTCCTGAAGTAAGTCACGTCCAACACGTTCCGAATTTCAATGTGGTTTGAGATTTACCAATTTTATGAGCGTATTTATATCCCGCGAAAAAAGAACTAAAACAATAATAATACTAATCCTCCTGTACAAGAGTAGGTTTGTATGTACCTTTGGGGTGTATGTAAGGATGTATATATGTATGAAGGTAGGTGCTATCAATATCAGCACCGTTTGAACGCAGCTGCTGGGGTTGCCATATTTATTGCTTTCTAAACGTCACGTCCCCATCTCAGGGCTTTGCGATACCTAATACTGGCGGCAGCAACAATAACAACTCATTACAAGGGGAAGCGTTATTGCCGCTGGGAGCAGATGTGTTTATTTAAACGCGGTTAACTGTTTTCACATAAAGTGTTTGACATTTAAAGCGTATATATGTATGTATATTTCTCTTCCATATCTTTCTAAAGTAGTGTATGTGCATATGTATGTATGTACATATGTATAATGAGTTTGACGTTGCCGTTGGAATTCGTAACGCATTATTTCACTTTAATGAACTTCATGATATGCGAACTATGCTTATACAATTGAAATAGAAGAAGAAGGCTATATGTGCAATATAACAACTAACGGTTCAAGCATAAGAGATTTGTCTTCCTTTGTATTTATTTCATTTGGATTTTTATTTCCGAATTTTTGTTTTGGCGTATATTCAGCGTGTGCCACTTGCTGCGCCCTTCTCATCCATTCTCCCCTGCTTGTTTGCTTCTGCGCCACCGAAAAATAATGAATTTAATGCAATTTATATTCATTTATTCCACACTTTGCAACACATTTGCCAAATGAGCGGCATCCACACAGAGCTCTTTATTCATTGTTTGTATGTATATATGATATATTATAATTATGTGCATATATGGCTTTTAATAGACCCAGGGAATACAACATCGTGTTTCCAATCTGATTTAAATTTTGTTTCTTAATATTTACTCTTAAGGGTATTTGACGGTATAGTAAGGCCAGCTATTTCTTTTTCTGAAGATTTTTAAAAAATTTCTAAAAAAAATTGGTTTTTGACAAAAAAAAACTATAACCGGTGAGTAGTATATGTACGAGAGGATAAACAAAAGATCAGTCAGTTGGTGACTTTTAATTTCTTATCCATTGATAGTTGAGGATAGGTCCTGGCGAAATTCCACCACCAACGCAAACTGAAATTCGTCATGTGATTATCTTCGGGTTTCGGCATAATTTACAGCCAATACATATATGCAGTGAATACCAAATTGCATATGGAACAATTGCACCGTTTTTAAGACTATTTCTAAGTGGCTCCGAAGATTCCAGGCCGGACATTTTTCCGTGAAAGTCGACCAAAATCTTCCACTGATGACGTCATTGTAGCTCTAGTGACGTCCAAAATTGACGAAGACCCACGATTGACGCAAGAAAAATGCTAATGAATTGGGCTTGTATGCCAATACTGTTTCGCGATTATAAAGTAATCATCTGGCATACACGAATTTCAAATGAGGCCCCAAAAAGATAAATAAATTCGAAAATGGTCAGTCTAGAAAGTTTAGTAAAGTCTTTACTGGGGACAAATGGAGACTCTGGGATTGAAGAAATACGTCCAGCGCCATATTATCAGAATATATCGCCTTGTGATTTCTATTTGTTTCCAAAAATTGAAAAAAAGTCCTTAAAAGCAAAGAAGAGATAATTGAAGCGGTTGGTGTTGAACTTGATAAGCTGAAAATGCAAGATTTTGAAGACTTTTTTCAGAAATGGATCTGTAGGCTTAATTAACGCATTTGAATCAAGGGCGATTATGTAGGGAAGATAAAAAAGAACAAGGATTATGAATAAATACAAAAATAGTTTTTTTTTTGTGTTTTTCTGGCTAACTTACTGAACTTGTATACCGTCGCATAATGTATTTTTGAATAAGCTTTGAAAAAGGAGAAAAAAATTAAAGAATTTTACAAAGAAGTTGTTATTGTAAGGAGTAATCAGTAATCTTTGCAATAAAAAGAAAACTAAAGATGATTGATTGCGGTTGTATTGGCAACAGAATTTAATAACAAATCACCCGAAGTGAAAAAAATGTATTTGAGCTAATACCAGCAACATGAATTGGCACGAAGGAAAATAAAAAAGTGAAAAATGTAAATGTAATTGAAAAATTTTGTCATATTTTTGTTGGCACAGTGACCTCTTAAAATATTCTATTTTGTAAATTACAATTTTTTTTACAAGCTTTTGGCTACTTTAGCATTACCACAAAATGCCGTGTGAACTACCCAAATTACATACTTTGCAATCAAAAATACATAAAGACAAATTAAGTGTTGTGCAAAAAAGAAAATGCGAAAAATAAAAGTTTAAAAAGTGAAAATCGTAAAAAAAAATCTTCAGATTTTTGCTGCTTACAAAAGACTCGCAGCTTAAGTAAGAAGGACATCAAAGGTAAGTGTTGTTCAAAGCAAGCAGCATAGTTTTGTACTGACTTTTAGTGCATTTGAAACAATTAATGGCGAACAAATAGGCAAAAAAGAGTCCAAATGAGTTTATTTACTCAATAAAATATTTATGAAGTACAAAAAGTTAATTAAAATCGCATGAATATATTAATCCACTTATTTTCAAAAATTATTTAATTTGGCTTCTCGAAATAAATTACAATTATAAAAAAAATAAACTATAATTAGATTTCCATTAAATGTGCCTCTACAATAAAAAAAATACTATTTTGTAAAATCCGTCTGAACATTCTGCCTTCGCACAATTTAATAGAAGCTGCATTTAAATTTTTAAATTTCATTAATTGGAATTCGAGGTATTTTGGTGTCTGTGACGCAAATGAAATGTATTCCCTTTATTATGATTTTAATATTTTCTTTCGCAAGAATTAACTATAACTTGAGCTGCGAGCTATCAAAACAAATGTCGGTGATTTCTTTATAACAAAAATTTTAATTTTTTGTTTGGCTTAACTTTCTTACTGCTAAGTTTCGAAAAACTTGCCTGCAAATCCCATTTTGAGCTTAAGAAGGTTATAAAATCCAATTACCAAACAAAATCCGGAATTCTTATTGAAAAGTTTGCCAAAAAACTGACTAAATAAGATATGAGTGAGTGGTGGCTGTATTTACATACATACATACATATGTAACAATGCATGCTTAAACTAACGGGCTTACATGTACATATTTTTTTTTCGTAAAATTAAATAACTTCGGGCAATAATTTCAGATTTTAATCTCATTAAATTTTCCACATATGTAGGCATGTACTATATATATATACATATATATGTAATTAAACACATAAAACATTTTAGATATATGTGTGTGTATATATGAAAGGTGGCATAACATAAAAACTAATTATCTTTTCAAATTCATGCCAACAAACTGTCTAGTTTTTAAGCCTTGGATTACATATTTTTTGGTCTTATTTACATATACTCACATACATATGTACATGGATCCACAAATACATATGTGTATACTTTTATGCCACTCAAACACACAGTATGCCTTGAAAATTATAGGTGCAGTTTAGCTCAATGTAATCGTTTGCTGATTTAAATTAGACTTTTTTGTCTCTGGTTTAAGCCACGCGTTGTTTTACACATTCATCTCTGGGACACACATACATACAGTTGTATGTTCGCGTCGTTAGTTTGTCCACTAAATAGTCTAGGCTCTGTTAATCTGTTCAACCTTTTGCCTTAAGTCCATCACACTCTCAGCTTTCACTTTTCTTTAATCTCTCTGTCTCTCTCTCTCTCTCTCTCTTGATGACTATATCTACAAGCGGTCGTCGTGACTCGAATGGGCCGCACGTGTCGCTGCGAAATGGGTTTCCTTTCTTTTGCAAACGAAATTCATTACATATATATGTATGTGTATATATGTATTAACATATGGAAGTTTGTGTGTGCGTTTATATGTACAGAATAACAGTTATATCAGTAGAGTGCTTTAACATGATTTTTGACAATGTTTACTATTATTTATTACATATAGTCACTCCCGTTATGTTCATATTTTATATACATATATTTAAGTATGTATGTATGTACATATGAACGGTTGTATGTCAAATTGGTAGGTATTAAGGAAAATCTTGATTTATTTTATATGGAAATTAGCATGCGATTATGTAAGTTGATTCGCATATCTTGTTACTGTTGTCTGTGGTGGTGTATCCAGGAGTTAAATTATTTGTCTTTACCGAGTTCAGTTTCTTACCATTTTAGTGGTTATTAAAAATAAAATATTTTCTCGTGGAATTTTGGATTATTTTTAACTTACGGCACAATACGTATATATGTACAATAGTATACTAGATCTAGTAAAAACAAATAATTATATTTCAATTAAATTGAATACTTTATTTGAATAGTTCAATTTGTCCGATTAATATCAAATATGCACAATTTCACGCGATAAAATTTTGCCATTTAGAAGGTAATGTCCTTATGTCTCTCTCATAGAAACCCTAGCCACAAGCAGGAACAGATGGCAAACACTTGGTACAAGGACCGGTCTGCAAGGTGCATGCATAAGAACCTTTCAACCAAGCTTACGAAGCTACTGGCACGTTACTATCGACGTGTATGGTCTGATGTGACGTTGTCTTGCCATATTGGGCATATTGTTGACAGTTCAGGTCTGAATTAAGAGTTTGGCCATATCAACGCAGCTGGTAGTTGATGATTCCTTGCCAATTCCACCAAATACGCAAGACCGACAATCCTGGCTTGGAAACGACCTTCTTTTTGTGACGTTGCTGTAACTGATCCAATTTTCATGAATTTCGGGTACATTTTGTTGAAGCCAGGCTCCTCTAAACATTTATCAATAAAATAGCAAATACCTCCTGAAGTAATGTAGAATTAGTCTCCGAGGTCCGCAAGACTACGAAGTAAATATATAGAAGAGGAAAGAGCGGTAAATCCGGTCGAACAAATGCTTTAATCGCCTTTTTCTCGAAATCACGATTTTTCAACGGCATTTTACTTCTAAAATGTCCCATTATTTTAAAACAATTTTTAAACATTTTTTAAAGAATTAAAATTGAAAAAAAGGTTAAAAAAATTTTGCTTTTTTTTTCTGGTGAAAATATTTCAGTTATTTACATTTGATTTGGGGAAGCTCCTTTTTGTATGCTTAACTGTATTTTGGTGCTGGCAGCAGTTGTTCAAACGTTTGTAGCTTTGTGTTTGGCCATATGAATATTTTCATGTATGCATGTCGGCAGGAGTTGACTGAGTAAATTGATGTTCTCCTACTCATATCGAGTTAGTAGCTACTGACTGAACATGATAGACACCTCAAAGGACTCATTTTGGCGGCTAAAATGCGAACAGCTGATATAAAACTCGAGCGCACATAAATCTCTAACGCATGCATACATACAATTCACCTATTTATCTCTCATACGTGTATGTAAGCTGCCGCTGTACGCCGCATGCAAGTTGTTGTACATTTGTTTCTAACCCGTACATGTACGAATGTGTAGGTGTGAGAGTCTGAGCTCATAAATTTTGCATTTCTTTAACATTTATTTGCGCCTCCACTGTACATACATATAATACACGAGTACGAGTATGTCTGCTTCTGCTTTATGAGGTCGTCCTCGTTGTCATTCTCGATGCGTGTTGACAATGTCCTTTCGTGTCATGCTTATGATAGCTGTGAAATTGCCTGATTGCCTTGTTGTTGTTGGTGTTGTTGCGTGCCGCAGTGCCATTTGAGGTGACGCATTTATGAGTCGTTGATGCTTGCACATTACTACTGTTATGGCTACAGTAACAGCAACAGCAACAACAATAACGACAAGACCTATATCCACTGTCGTTGCTGTTTCTGTCTCTGTCTCTGAACTGAGTGGCGTTTTTTGTCTATGTGTTTTACGTGACGCGCAGACCGTAGCAAATTTACGACAACCCACCAGCCCACAGGTGCCACTGGGCGTTGCTGTAGGGCAAGTTATTCAGTGGAAATGATTGCGTGCGTTTGCCTCAATGAATGTCATCGTTGTGGACGGTTGCGAGTTCGCGACTACGCATTTACTTGCACGAAGTACGCGTGTACCTGTGCGGGCGTAAGTGCATTTTATTGTCAACTAAATACGCTGTCATTTAAGAGAGTACACGCGTACACGCTTTTAAATGACTAACGAAAGGACGCGAGGGTGGGCTTGGTGTAGGTTTGCCCATACATATGTTTTTGTGATGTGTCAGTTTGGTTGTTCTGGTAGTCAAAGTTTGGCCCTGCAAACTGCTTGGGAACCATCGACGCCCATTCAACTTGCTGTTTCATCCCAAAACTGTATCTTGGGGAACATTGCTGCAGTGATAGCTCATGGCGGTGTAAAATTCGGGTCGTTCTGGTAATAAACGCCAACTGCCGTGGCAACTAGTCGATTTTAGTCATATCTAACGCAAAGCTCCCACCTTGTCTTCTTGACTCAGAGTAATGAGCTGGGTACATGGAAGAGGAATTAAATTAAAATTCGTTTAGGTTTAAAATTCAAAATATAGTTTTCCACTTAATACTGTGAGTACAGCCTTCCATTGTCACGACGCAATAAAAAAAGAAACATAATCTCAGTATTCACTCAGCGATACTGGTTTCGCCATCGGCCAATAGCTTTTGTACTAGCTTTCAGTCTCCTGTAAGCTCATCTCCGTCGCAACCCTTAATTATACCAACGTAATAAAAAAAAAAAAAAAAAAACCCCGGTCCACATACAACTCACACGCACAACCCACCGTCCTTAAGCCGCGAGCACCTTGCAATTGTGCTCAGCTTCAATCGTTAAATGCCGAATACGTGTTTGGGATTTCCCACGAATTCTAAGAATTTCAAAATGTTGAACGCAGACACATAAGGCCACATACATAAATATGTATATACACTCATATGCATACGTACATACAAATAAACGCTTCAACAACCACGGAATGCATATTTATTGTTTTCATTTACTTTTGGAATGTATGGCAGTGTTAAAGCTGGGTCCTTGACATATCTGCACGCTCTCAATGTGAGTCTAATAAAGGGTGTTTTTGTTAAACGTGTGCTTTCCAAGAAGAAATAAAACGCATATAATTTAATGGAAAGCCAAAAGCTTAGATGTATTACAAAGCTAGCGGGTCCATAAATCAGCAATAACGCTCCGAATATTCTCTTCCAAGACTTTGGTCGCCTCATGTTTATCTGCGCTGACATGCGGCTTCACATGACCCCAGAAAAAAAAGTCCAGCGGCGACTGTGTGGCATGCAGCGCCGTCTTGTTGAAACTAAAAGTTATCCACAACAACATCCTTAAATCTTTAGGCACGAAGAAGTCATTAATAATGTGTCTACAGTTCCTTTTTGAGTGTAACAATACGGCCGACTACATTTTGAGGAAATATGGACCCATGATTCCCTCAACCCATTGTGCACAGC